CCCCAGTTAGTCCCTTGGGAAGCTGAGGATAGGGAACCTGAACTGACCCTATCCTATAGCATTACTGACGAATATCTTTCATATCACCATAGAACCTTCATCTGGTGATGGATGGAGATAGAGACAGAGACCCACACTGGAGCACTGGACTGAGCTCCCAAGGTCCCAATGAGAAGCAGATGGAGGGAAAACACGAGCAAGGATGTCAGGACCACGGGGGGTGCACCCACCCACTGAGACAGTGGGGCTGATCTATTGGGAGCTCACCAAAGCCAGCTGGACTGTGACGGGAACAACATCGGTCTTTTAAAGGGATAAAGAAAGAACGGGTTGTAAACGGTTCGTTAAGCTGCGTGGTGGGCCAGTCTGGGAAAAGCAACTGTTGTATGTGATGTCTCACTCCGCAGCCGGGTGGGATCCATTTCCAGCACTAACTGAACAGAGATCTCTCGTGAAAGGTTTAGGTTCCTGGGGCCAGGGCCTGGAGCAGGTTTCTAGAATCCACTGTGGCAAGGGTTGGGAGTGGGGCGTGTGCAGAGCTCAGGTACAGGAACCACGAGGCGAGGCTTGTTGCTGGGCGACAAGGGAGCTGGTCTTTTCTTCCCGATTTAGCTGGCAGAGCCTGCCTAGCCTTGTGTCCCAGTGGTCTGTGGGACATCTGGCCCATCACCATCAGCTGGGAGAAGGTCCAGGCTTCTGAACCATCCAGGTGAGCAGAGGCCATGGATCCTGGTGCATGTAATTTCCCTTGGATCCTGGAGAGACTGGCAATTTGGCTGGTTCCCACTCTCTCATCCGCTTTGGTAGATTCCAACCTCACAGAAGTCTGCATCAAACCTAGGGCTGACTTTGAGCGGTGATTAGCGTCGGAATAGCCTCTGGGCGTCTGTAGTCTGGAAGTAAGAGTGAAAGGAAAACTTTTCGTGGGAAAAGGAGCACGGGCAGAGGAGGAGCTAAAGGGAAAATGCCAGCGGAAGTAGATAGACTGGGCTTTGGGGAACCGAGAAAAAAGGGGTGTCGACGGCAGAGAGGCGAGGAATCAGGACAGTTGCCGGAAGTGTGTCAGTTAACAGTGGAGGCGATTAATGTCGTCGCTGACCGTTTCTGCCACCCTGAGCCTGGGTAGCTTGGTTTGGACAAGCCTTAACAACCTAGGTGAGAACTCCCAATGGAGTCTATCTAATTTCAGAATAGAGGGCTGCTTCTATTGTGTTCGGGAGTAATTGAGGTATACAAGCTAACTGCAAGGGTTCTTTGCTACTGAAGACTGCACACACACACACACACACACACACACACACACACACACAATGAATCCTTTTGCAGACTTGTGTTAGAGAAATTTAGAAGGAGATAAAATGTTTTTAAAAAAACATTCAACTATAAATGTTTATAATTTTCTCTTCTCCTATTTACGACTTTAAATAGTAGTATGGGTTATAAGCAGCAAACTACACAAAGGTACAGTCTATACACTGTGAAATCCACAGAGGTCTATAGTTTGAGGAATTTCAACAGATATCCACACCTTTGAAACAATTGCTACAATCAAGATGACTGAGTTGCTTTTTCTGCTCACTCTGCATCCATATCTGCTCTCATTGCTCTCCCTGCAAACAGCCACTGAGATCTGCTGTGTGACAACGCAGAGCCAGCTGTGTCTTCTGCAGTTTTAAGGAGGTGGCATATACACTCTTGTGAGTGGCTTCATTTACTCGGAATGGTGACTTGCCAGAGCCCTTTTCTCTGTAGTTTACTGTAGTAACGTGGGCTTTGTTTCCTTGTGTTTAAGACAGGGTCTCACCATGTAGCCTGGACTAACCTGTGATCATTGTCTTTGTCTCTCAAGGGCTGGCTTTACAGGCATGTTCCGTCATGCTTAGCCTTGTAGTTTTGAAATCGGATACTGTAAATTGTCTAGATTTGCTTTTCCTTTTGAGAATTATTTTGATGATTTTAGGCCACTTGAAAATATCTTAGAATTAGCTTTTGTTCTGTTAAAAAAATGTCTGCTGGGGATTTTTTTTTTTTTTGCAGACAGTAGACAACAAGCCAATGTATTCTGCAATTGTAGGCTACAGTCTTCAGAGAACATACAGGAGACGGTTGATAACAGCTGTCAGAATAGCTGGCTGACAGCAAAAGTCTTCTATTTAATATCAAAGCAAAGTAGAAAATGTTACAGAGCAGAACAGGAAAAAATCTGGAGTCCATCCTGGAGGGGTCAGTGTGGTACTGGGAGTTCTCCCTTTACAGAGACAGGAAGTGACCAGGTGACCAGAGCCTTGGCATAAGACAGACAGCTTCAGGAAATCTGTACTCTACTTTCAGTAACAGACATTTTAAGGAGAGGAAGGAAAAAGAAAAAGAGGGAGGAGGGAAGACACTTGGGGCCGTAAATGAAAAACTCTCTTGCCAGCGTTCTACCTGAGCACCAACGAGATGTCATTAAAAAATAAAACTCAGGTGAACAAGCAGAGCCACCGTGGGATACTATTTTAAAACGATCCCTGCTGGTCCCAGGCACCCAGTGAGTCGTAGGAAACTTAGAGCAAATGCTGCTACTATGTTCTAAAAAGTGACCAGAATACATCTCAATTATGGGGAAGAAACTTCAAATCAGTACTCAGTGAGGGGGAACCTGGATGGAGCCAGCACCTTCAGGGAACATAGATAGAGTGCAGTGGAGTGTATCCAACACCAGGAAGAATTGCCCAGTGGGTAGGGCCAGCACTTGAAACCTGTAAAGAAAGAGGGCCAGCATTTGTGACCCAGCCTGGCCAAAGACCATCTCTTATTGAGAAGAGAATTCACCACCCAATACCTTGAAGAATGCCCATGGAACATCTGTGTGTAAGGCTGCCCAGGGGGTGTGATGGGCATTTGGGAGTCGTGGAAGGAACAGGAGGACGAGGCTGGAGCAGCGGGGAGACAGACCACCCAGATGGTGTGGCGCCCACTCTCCACTTCACTTGTATCCGTCTCCTGTTTACTATCCATTGCCAGTTTTACAGACCAGCTCTGTCCTGCTCTGCCCTCGTTACCCTTCCTCTTCCATTTACCTTCTCACTAGTCTTTTGCTTTTCCATTGATAAGCTTTTCCCCAGAAGACAGCTAGACCTAGTCTATTAGAAGGCTCAGGTGTCTCAGCCTTCTCCGAGCTGGGGCTGCTTTAGGCTATCTGGTTGCAGTTCTTCACCTCCCACTCTTTATTCAACCTTTGGCCACAGTTGCCTCATCTCTCCTCTTTCCCCTCTTGTCTCTACCTCCTCTTTACCATTCCGTCCTCTCTAACCACAGACTCACTCTTTTTCCTGCGCACTTGCACCTCAGGATCTTAGCGTGCACAGTTCTCTCTCTCTTCTTTTACTTCTTAAAGTGTTGAGAGCTTAAGAGGGGGGCGGTTTTTATCTGACTAATGTGACTTTCATAGTTACACTTACCTTTTGATAGGATTCTACTCTTAGGGGAGTACTAGGAATGGGGTCTGATGTCCTGACCGCTGGGATGGCAGAGAAGGGCGGTGCCTCAACCTTACTACAACGTAATCCATCTTGAACATTGCAACTCGTCTCACTTAAATAATTATAATTAAAAAAATCACCTATTGGTCAACTCCAGGTACAAGTATCAACACGAAACCCAATCAACATGAAAAAAAAAAAAAAAACAGTAACATGACTGCTCCAGAAATTACCAATCCCACTAATGGCTTCTCAGTGAAAGAAAATTAGATGTCATTCCAGACAAGGAATTCAAAAGAATGATTATAAATTATGTTCAGAGAACTTAAAAAAAGACACAAACCCCTGAATAAATCCCGAGATAACAAAAAATGCTGAATGAAATAGGAAGCCAATATAGGATATGAAAGTAGAATTCAATAAAGAGATAGAAATAGTAAAACAAACAAACTGGAAATGAAAAATTCAAGAAGTTAAATCAAAACCTCTGTGGAAAGATTCGCCAATAGGATGGATCTATGGGACGACAGAATATCAGGGCTTGAAAGCAACACGCAGGAGTTGAAACGTTCAGTTAACTACGAAGATAAATTAATAAAAAAGTACATGAAGGAAACCTTTGAGAGCTATAGGGCACTATGGAAAATTTAAATCTGTGATTCACGCTGTGCCACCTTTCCTAGGACACCTGCACACAGGCCTATCACTCCAGATAGGGCACTACAGACCAACGCAATGAGTCCACCCAAGTTGAGCTTAGAGAACCAGTGAGTTTACTGGGGTTACAGAAAACGGATGACTCATAGGCAGCTGAATCACTGAAAAGCCCATTCCGCATGAGCAATGACTCATGA